AAATCATAAAGAAATCGTCGTAACGGTATGCCCGAGTTGCTTTCCCACGCGTAATATCAATAATTAAATAATAACCGAATAAATTAAATAATAATCGAATAAAGAAGTAATAATACCCAAATATTTTAAATGATAGTGATAATAATGTCTGTTCGACAATTGTGTGATAATATCCGCGAGTGGATAATAACGAAATAATGATGATCGAATAATCGGTAATAATAATATCGGGGCAACGGCTCTAACAAAAACTCTAGACTCCACAAAGACTAGGTAAACAGACCCTCGTAACTGCCCACTCGTACCGCTGACTGAGCGGCGCTTGGGGGTAGGGGCCGCGGTCGGGTCATGTAAACACGCGTGTGCGAGCACGTGCTCGAGCGTCACGCCACAACTCTCTCAATCGTCGAGACGGGCACATCGGCAGCTGTCGCGTTATATTTTAGATTATTCCGTGTCGATTTTTAATACCGCGTTTCGACTTCACGACAATTGAGGCGACATTTAAGACAAATTAAAACTCATATTCCTCACGTGAGCAGATGTTGCGGGCTTTACCGCGACAGGTAATTACCGCGTTTCATTTACTTTTTTACTTGTTAGATAGAGAAACGTCGCAATCGAGTTCCTCAATGCCGATCAAATATTATCATTATACATTTATTATTCGAGTATTATTACTTCTTTATTCGGTTGTCATTTAATTATTTTTATTGCGTATTGAGAAGCAACTCGAGCGTGTTGTTACGACGATTTCCTTATCTTGTCTTGCTGTCGTGTGTAATTAATACTACCGTGTGTAATTAATACTGTAATTAATACTACCAAATATTATTATATGGTTGTCGATCAGATATTAATATCTGATCCATTAATTAATTAATCGTATTATTATTTCTTTATTCAGCTATGATTTAATTATTTCTTATTGCGCATTGGAAAGGAACTTGAGTGTACCGTTAAGACAATTTCTTTTCCTCGTTTTGCTGTCGCGTATAACTAATCGATACTAAATTATTAAATTACTAAATTAAATTAAATTTCTGTCACAGAGATCCAATAGAGCAGAAGCAGTTACGCGGCTCTAGGCAATGCCTGGGGTATGCCGCGCCGACGATTCGGCTCAGGCCTTTCTAAGTCGACTCGAAGGTGAGCTTCACTAATTTGTACTTATAATTAGAAATCCAACAAAATTGAAAATTTTCTTGTTTGGAATCAAGTTCCTTAATGCCTTCATTGTTGTGTAACTAATTAATACTCAATTAAATCTGTTTTTTGCTGCAGAGACGAGCACTCGACTCTAAGGGGATGCTTCGGCTCGGACCTGGCAGAGTTGGCGCTAAGGTGAGTTTCACTAATTTGAATTCATAATTTCGATAAATCCGATAAAACTGGAAATTCTCTTGTTTGAAATCGAGTTTTTAATGCTTCCATTGTCGTGTGTAATACTAATTTAAATCTGCTTTCTGTTGCAGAGACGAAACAGACGACCAGCCTCTTAGAGGTTGCTACACCGAAGGATCTGGCTCGGACCGAGCGAGGCTAGTTCGAAGGTGAGCTTCATTAATTAACATTTGTAATTAGAAATCTGACAAGATTGGTAATTCTTTTGCTCGAAATCGAGTTAATTTAAATCAAAGATTGCGTTAAATTGTAATTACACATGGGGAGAATTTTTTCTGAGTAATATCACCACTTGAAAAATTTTGATAAGAGATTTATTTGCAACGTCGAGAAAAAAGAAAGTGGATTATTCCAAGTGTGAATGTATTCCGAAAAATTCTTCCAGCGTAGAAAATAAGAATTTTGAAAATAATTTCTCAACATCCCAAAGTTGCGCTCATAACTTTAGATTCATCGTATCAGTGTATTGGAATTCTTGCGCATGCGCAGTGGTCCTATTCTGTCCAGGGACCGAAAGTCGGTCATGTTATTACAGGTTAGGTCATATAGCATTAGCATGTAGAGCACATTCTGGGATAGTTTTTAGGGTTTTTCAAAGTAACATGCGCGGTTGAATTGGTTTATTTTCGAAAATTACGTCAGATGTGCTTATTTCGTTCTGCATCGTCTTCTGGGTGACAATATGTATTTGTATCACTCCACTCCCTTAGCGGCACGCCCAGAATCTTGAAAATAATTTCCCAATATCCCAAAGTCGCCCTCATGACGTTAGATTCATCGTAGCAGTGTATTCGAATTATGCGCAGTGGTCCTATTTTGCGCAGGGACCGAAAGTCGGTCATGTTACTGCAGGTTAGGTTATGTAGCATTAGCATCATGAAGATCTAGAACACATTCTGAGATAGTCTTTTAGGGATTTTTTTAAAGTAACATACGTGCTTGAAATTGTTTATTTTTGAAAATTACGTCAGGCATGCTTGTTTCGTTCTGTATCGTCTCCTGGGTGACAATGTGTGTTTGTATCACTCCACTCCCTCAGCAGCACGCCCAGAATTTTGAAAATAATTTCCCAATATCCCAAAGTCGCGGCTATAACGTTAGATCAATCGTAACAATATATTCATATTCTTGCGCATGCAGTGGTATCTATCCTGGAATCGAAACTAAATTTTGAAAGTGTAGTAGTGATCTTTGAAATTTTTCTGATTGGAGCATTCACAGTTTCGATATGTACAATTTGCAGAATGTTTGTATTAAATAAATATTTCTCTAACTGACAGTTCAATATTTAAATTTAAATAAAATTTTTTCGTTTTCGTCGCATATTGAGCAATGCTCCAATTTATTTTTGCATGTACTTTTGTTGTGTAAAAGCGTTTGAAATTCTGTGCAAGCAACAAGACATAAACTTTGCAAAAAAAAAGTCAATGTTATGTTGGTAAAGTTTTCATGTCCGGTATCCTCTTAAACGATTTTTTTTTATTTTCGTATACTACATGTCAACGACGAGATAAATGACCTCCTGCATTTCCAAGTAGCGCGAATAAATTGCAGATCAGAGTTGTTCTTGAGTAGCATAATTTTATAATGAATCGAGCAAACGTTTTTCAGTGGAAATTTTTATTTTCCACATCGAAAAGCAAATATCAGGTTGAATAAGTTGGTCTTTAACATCTCTCTCAATCGCCGTTTTTAATATTTTTTATTTCATTTCTCTTAATATATAATTTACAACGTTGCTTAACTGTCATATAAATCTAAAAATATAGATACTTATACAAGGTATAATCTGATAACGTAAAAAATAACAGGAGATTGATCGCTGGCACGTTTGCAGTTTACGGCGCAGGCGACTTTCGTTGTACGTAGTACATTGTACATTGTATGTATCACTATACATTAGGTTCGTTGACAAAGGCACCGAATGTTACCTCCCTCCTCTTTGCTACACTTCCATATTCTCTTTTCGTTTTTTTTTCTTCGCACGCATACAATCATTAAGCGCACATACAAACACGCAAAATCTCACTCACTCTTTCAAGGTTGCATCCTAAAACGTCCTTTTTAAAGAAAATTTTACTCAATATTCTATAGTTCACGTTACATATAGTTCACGTTACATATAGTTCACGTTACTGTAAAGTATAGAATGAAACTTTCCTTAAAAAGGACGTTTTGGAATGCAATCCAAATGCATACATACATACAAGGAATTACGTTTTCGTCTTAACGTATAAGTTGCTAAAATTACCACATTTCTAAACGATCTGGCTCGGATCCAAACGCGCAGTTTCACTAGGCACTTCTCTAGACATCAAGTAATGCTTAAATTGAACACGTTGATCTGATAGATTTGAAAAATTCTATAAAATTGACGCGAAGAACAGCTTGTAAAATGATAATGACATTCCGTCGGTCATTCTTTCCACAGTCATTTTACATTATGTTCCAATTAATGACCATAGTAATGTTCGTGAAACAATTCGACGGAGAAAATGTTTGAATTCCACGTATTTCAAAGATTTGCGCGCGTGATACTTAAAATAATATAATTACATTTTTTATTATTACACGCAGTATATAAAACATGAGACGAGACAGTGTGCAATCGGCCGAGTGTATTTGGGCGGCGCATGTACGTCAGAAATATTGCATATCACACTGAGAGAAAAGGATATTTGAAAATTATTTGTGAGATATAATGTTTAATTTTAAAAAGTTTAAATTTCTGCGAAATAAATGTTTATCCCTCATAAATAAGTTTTCAAGCATTTTTTCTCAATGCAGAGCCATTCATAAAATATAAAATTTCCAACGTCGACGTCAACACGACGTCTTATAAATCACATAAAATAAATCACGTGGATGCAAGTTCCGCAAAATAAAATTCAACTTGATTACATTAAATCCTGTCCAATCGCGATTACATATTGCATATCCTCGGCCGAATGCGAAACTGGATTTATCGCGACTAAATCCATCCCTAATGTAATTTTGTCCGAAAGAAAGCGTCGTGGAAAACAGAGACAGAAAGAGAGAATTCATATTCGGAGGCAGTCGTTGACCGAAATTCCGGTATTCGTAGGATATAATAGGAGGTCGCAACGTATATCTTGGCATTTATAATTAAGAAATTATTAAATATGATTACTATTACGCTACGCGTTCCAAGATCGGAATACATCCTCTTTGTACCGCAATTCCCTCGTATTTTTCATTGACGCCGACGCGTCGATAACTCATAGTCGTCGGTCGAATTATCCGTATATTCAAATACGTCGAAATTCGATTGTATCAGAATGCACAGCTCGAGAAACGACAATCTATTTTTTTTATAATGCGCTCGATCCCGACATCTCCCATCTCTCTCTCTCTCTCTCTCTCTCTCTCTCTCTCTCTCTCTCTCTCTCTCTCTCTCTCTCTCTCTCTCTCTCTCTCTCTCTCTCTCTCTCT